AGTCGAAGGTGGTTGGATGTTCGGAGTTATTATCCTTTGGTCCAGCTATTAATAGTGGTTAGGGTGTCTGGAGTTATTGTCCTTTGGTCCAGCTACTAACAGTGGTTAGGATGTTCGGGGTTATTGTCCATTGGTATAGCTACTAACAGTGGTTAGGATGTTCGGAGTTATTGTCCTTTGATCTAGGTATTGAAGGTGGTTGGATGTTTGGAGTGACTGTCCTTTGGTCAAACTATTCCAGGTGGTTAGGATGTTCGGAATTATTGTCCTTCGGTTAAGCTATTAAAAGTAGTTAAGATGTTTGGAGTTATTGTCCTTTGGTCCAGGTATTGAAGTGGTTAGGATGTTTGGAGTCATAGTCATTTGGTTCAGCTATTACGTTCAAACATATGTTCAGGTAATTAGAGTTAGACTATAAATAATGTTCCTGGACTGTTTACTAGCTAAGAGACAACACAACATTTATTAAGTTTGTTTTGTAGTCAAGCACAAAACAACACAATGAGCTATCTGTGCTCTGTCCACCACGGGTATCGAAACCCGGATTTTTAGCGTTGTAAGTCCGCAGAGGATTTATTAAGTATTATAAAAATATAATAGAATAACACTAACAAAAGTAATCACCAGAAGGTTCATTTAACCTTAAAGTCTACCATCAACAGTAACAATCTAATATTTTTATCCATGAGTCCAAGATATAGGAAATAACTAGAAACTCGCATTGTGTCACTCAAGTAAGGTATACTCTATTCTTAATTAAATTTGATTTTTATTAACTATCTTGATTAGAATATTTAGTAGGTTTGCTCTGTTTTTAATTAATATACTTTTATGCTAAAGACTATTTTACATTGTTAGATTATTATATGGACTTACGACTAACTGCAGTCTCATAAGATGGCCGAACCTTGCGAGATATTATTGGGTTAACGGCCGAAAATGTCGTCAACACTGAAAGTAACCAACTGATGAAACAGTAATATTTAAAAGTAAGAACTGTATATTGCATTAGCTATAATCATTACCTTGTTGATTTTTATCTTTATGTTTGATCTAAGTAGCTAGATTGCTCTGATACGAAGTTAATATGAAATTATTAAATAGTCTTTAATACATACAAAATAAAAGCGCAAACTACATCTTCCGAAACACCATTCTACTTATTCATCACACAAAAGGTCAAACAAGTGTGTGAAAGAAAATATTTCTAGGTTGAAAATGGTTCAGCTATCATACAAACATATAGTAGATACTTCTAACTTCAGTTATCCAGTTATTGAACAGACTTCACTAAGGAATACCCCAGCCAACTTGGCATATGTGTACAGAGTTTTAACTATTGAAATCGCGAAAAACATATAAAACTAGCAAATGTGAAAGCCACATACAAAGACACTGTTCAAGCAGTAATAAGTATCTTAGTAATTCGAGGTCTCTCCTAACAAAAAAAGAACATGTTTTAAAGTCACCGGAAAAATTAATTAATTATAGATTTAGCTACCTTTATAATAGCTGTGTCAGATAGCCCTCGTGTAGCTTTGCGCGAAATTCAAAACAAACCAATCAAATCCACAATGTTACACGTAGAATATCTGAATGCTAAACATATTTGAACACAGTGCGCACTACTGCTTCATCTGAAGTGTTGTATTATACAGATCATGACAAGCATGTGCAATATGCAACAGTGTGTGTGTGTGCTCACACAGAGGTCTATGTATATAATACAATATGTACTGAAATTATGAAGAACGTAATAAACGCAATAATGCATGCGTTGTTATCCGTCCCTAATTTAGCAGTGAAAGACTAGAAGGAAGGCCTCTAGTCATCACCATCCACCGCCAACTCTTGGGCTACTCATTTACCAACGAATAGTGGGATTTACCATTACATTATAACGCCCATACGGCTGAAAGGGCGAGCATGTTTGGTGGGGCAGGGATTCGAATCTACGAACCTCAGATTGCGTGTCAAGCGCTCTAACCACCTGGCCAACAGTGTGCAAACGGTGGGGAAATTTATAACTTTAAATAACCACGTGATTACTTTGTTTCATTCTATTAATAAATAAAGGTAAACATGTTTACTTTTAGATTAGAAACGCTATAATAATAAGATTACTAAAGATTTTGAAACGAAGTAGTAATAATAACCTAAATGAAGCTTTTTAAATAACGTTTCAAAAAGCGTGGGTAATCTATATTATACATATTTCTAAGCTCAATAAAAAGACATCGAGATAGAAGTGCCTGAAACGATAACCATGATAAAGAAGCTTATGACTTTGAACCGAATAATTGCGAAGCACTTTTCGCCATTTAATTTGTAATAATACATAGTTCGCCATGTTTTCCGTATAATTTTCAACAACAAAAAGCATTTTAATAGCCACAGTAGAGGCAAGAAAGTAGTTTCATGGAAGATAGATATCATTCATAAGGGAGGATAAAGTACATTAACCATCTCGAGTCATACATGTAATCACAGACCTCTTGAGATTTATTTCTGTATAATAAAAACAATTTCAGGCTTAACGCAATCCTCACATGTTTATTGTAGAAATAAATAATCAAAATGAGAAAAGAAAACATGGTAAAGCGTGCTAAACTGAATTAATTTACTTATAGGTGTAAACACACACACACACAGTAGTATTTCACAAACACAAATCTCTGCATCTGTTCATTTTTTTGTTTCGTTTTTTCAATCTGTTATCATTCAAATTCTTATTTTTGCTGTCAACTAAAATGTCAAGATGATAAGTTTATCTTCGTGTTTATTTTTCATTCGTTATTGTTTGTTTGAAGTTAAGCACAAAGCTACACAATGAGCTATCTGTGCCCTGGTCGCCACGGGTATCGAAATACGTTTCTAGCATTGTAAGTCCGCAGATATCCCGCTGTGCCACTGGGGGCTTCATTCTTTAATCTATACTGTAACGAATCTGTCGTTATGTATTTATTTTAATGTGAACGTTGTTTAGATTAAATTTGCATTTAAAAATATGCATAGCTCACAGTGTTAGATATGTATTGCGTGTAACGAATTTGTTATACATTTATTTCAATGTCAACGTTTGTCTGAATTGAGTTTATATTTAAAAACGTTCCTAGCTTACAGTGTTAGTTGCGTACTGCGAAACTCCCGCCAGTTCTCCAAGGTTGTAGAATATTCGTGAACGTAAGAATCGACAATATATCCACTTCCGTAACCGGTTAAATATAGCTCAGCATTGTTGTTGGAATTTTCAAGAAAACCTTTCCCGCACCTATAAAAACAGCCAAGGCGACGCGCCAAAATAGAGAGCCTATTAGTCGTCCAGTGTGCTAAAAACTCCAAAAGCTTTTTATAACATTCATCAATCGAAAAAAATTAAGACATTTGACCAGGAACAGTTACAAATTTCGAACATCAGTGGATCCTCATCGGACGTTAGTATCTTTCCGAAAATATTACAGGATTCTCTTTGGACATTAGTAGTTTTATGAAAACATTATCTTACTTCAACGGTACAACAATTCAGTGTGGTGACCAATGAGACAAAGCTAGCTAGCTTCCCGGCAATCGTACATACATCGACTTGAAATTACCTCACTAGATATCAAGGGAATTCCAATCTAGAAGGAAGATATATTGTTTGTAAGTTAGTGAAATCCTTGTTTATGAAACTGTGTTTGTAGTAACTAGTCATAATAATTGTTATTGTAAATTATACTGTTGTATATATATTAAAACATATTTGTGTGAAAAATGAAAACTGTGTGTATCAGTCTTGTTGGCAAATATGTAAATTAACTAAAATATCGGCATATATCTAGGTACTAAATCCAGAATACGATTTAACTGTTAAATTTAAATTATCTAACTCGGCTTCGGACTAAAGGGGGAATTGATGATTTAATGTTTTCTCTCTGTCATGGTAGAAGGTGCAAGGAACATTAATGAACAATTAAATGTTATTAAAGTAGAACAAACACACACAAACCTTCAGATCAATTGTATCATATAATAGCTATGAAAGGACCTCTTACAAGGTACTTAAAAATATATCGAGGCTATTAGATTCGCGTATTGTACTTCAAACATATGCTTTTTGCGATAATAGGATTGTACGCCTCGCGAATCGAGGACTGCACCCGATCCACCGACCATCAGCCAAGAAATGAAGCTGAAAATATTCTTTGATAGATTGGAGAGTATTCATGATGAGTAAATTGGGATGAACAGCACCTGCCTCTTGTAAAAAACACAATTTAGAAAGTCTTTGGTTTTTCGTCTTCAAAACCTGTGTTGTTGGTTTTTTTTTACAAGAGGCACTTGCCGTCCACTCCTGTTTACTCATCAAGCTGAAAATAGTTTATTTTCAATGTCTTCAACAGTGAGGCTTAGTTACTGCACGTTTATTATCTATTGCTATATTACTCTTAGGTTTAATACCTAACAAACTTGAATAAACCACGATATGTCTCTTTCCTTCCAAAGCTAGTGTCCAGCCACTGAGACTTCATTTAAAACACTAGTTGACCTTACATTAAAATAATATTACGGACAACAGAGAACTGTTTAGTCCCTCAAGGTTATCCCTGTTTTCTAATCCCTTGAAAAAGTAAAAATCAAAACCAACCCTTTAATTTTCAGTAAATCATTAATTCTCATTATGTTCTTGTAAGGTGCCGGCCACCACTACTTCTGATGGTAATTAATTGCATAAACCAATTATTCTATTAAAATAATAGCAATAAACAGTATAGAACAAAGTTGGAGAAGCCCTGTATTATAATGTATTATTATTATAAATAATTTGCCATTATCTTTACAGAGAAAACTGCTCTTAAACTCATCAGGTTGCACTAAAAAGTTATTTTTACAAGCACGCAATGATATTACATTTGAAACATATTATTCATGTTGAGAGTATACGAAAAAAAAAGACAATTAAAACGAATGAACAGCTCTATGAAACCTTGTAAGATTAAAGAAGTTTTGAGTTTTCCTACCGATAACCTCAAGAAAAACAATAAAGTATTCAGTTGGTTCATGTTTGTAATCAACTCTACACTTGTACATCCCATGGTCGTCTTCTTTTATATCCCATACTTGTAGGATGGACGGGAAAATGGAGACATTGTAGAAAGACCTGTTGGTTAAAGTACCACTGGGAAGATGTGCGGGTTTGTTTCGTATACCGTTTCTGGCATCCATAATGTAAATGGGTTTTGTAGCGTTGTCTTTATACCACAATATTAAAGATACTTTATCCTCGTGGAGTGAAGAAAAATTACAAGCTATTTCTGCTGATCCTCCTACTACACTTTCGTACACCAGGTGGCCTGCAAAAATGAAAAACAAAATTATTTTCGACAAACATAAACTCTTGTGTTAGGGTACTCCAAGTGCTGTTTGAAGTACTTTGAATAATTGAAATTTTAAAAGTAATTGAATGAAAGCTATTCTATCAATCAAGGAAAAACTTAATATCATAAAATATTTTTTCGATGTCAGAAAAAAACACGTAGGTTCAATAACTCTTAATGTAAAACAATAAAAATCCTATAACCCGAGTACTTTTGAAAGGTGGACCTTTCTTTTTTAGAGGTATTATTTTATCCCTGAAGAAGAACGGTCCACCTTTCGAAAACGCTCGGTTATAAAGTTTTTTATCTTTTTTATGAAATACTTTTAAAAATTCTGAGAGATGAACAGCATATCGTCAATACTTTCAGTTAAAATTACAATAAAACTCAATGGATTTTTTCCAATATTTGCATCAAAGAAATCCAGATAATGTTTGATCACTTGAACTCAATAGCATGACTTGGATGAATCAGAATGATATCTTAGATCTGTGGTAAAGTCTTCACTATTGAGTATTGTAGCCCGAATGAATCATGTTTCCAGACAACAAGGGTATCATTTCAGATCATAAGAATATAATTAACAGTCTGGCTAACGAATTAAATTTAAGAATAACAAGGCTTTGTCTTCAATAAATAAGTGGCATGAAATGGAATCATTAAAACAGAACGTTATTGTGAACCCAATACGATACATTGATCCAAACAAAAGAATTTCATTGCTAACTCAGTTAACCAGGTTTGGACGCTCCATAATAATCTGTGTTCTGAAATATATTTTTTTCAAAAACTAACTGGTCTAGCTTAAATAAAATGTATTGAATTAGACAATACGTATTCAACTTCGCACGGTGAATGTCTGAAGTAAATTTAAATTATAGATTTAACATAAAATACTGACATCAAAGAGCCATTTGATCCTTCAAAGCTGTCTTTTCACATCCACCTTTGAGGAAATTAAAAATTTAAACACAGCCTTAATTTTCCAGGAAGTAATCATTTCCCCTCTAGACCTCCTGTAAAATGGTGGTCACCAGTACTACCTATGGCAACTTATTCAATAAGTTAGCTATCCCGCTAGAAAAGTAAAACTGACCTGTCCTTTTCATATCTTAAAGTTATTTTCTTCAGTCTTATTCTCTTCAGAATGCAGTAGTAAGTGATTAGAAGCTTTTATTCTACCAATCCTCCTATAATGTTGTAAACTTCAATTGTATCACCTCTTACCCTTCAATATCAGTTAATAGATGTTAAACTTCTCCTGTAAGATAACCCTTCCATCTCTGAAATAACTCCTCTGAACCCTTTCCAATAAGCCAATATTCTCTCTTAGATAAAGAGAACAAAGTTATACGTAGTATACCAAATGAGACCTATAGTAACTTGTATAGAAAGATAATTACTTTTATGGACTTGTAATCTATATGTATATAAAACAGTCTAAAGTTGTATTAGATGTGCTACTAGTAAAAAATCACTGTTTTGATGACTTATTCACCCCCCCATCTAAATTTCCTTTTTTTTCAGTCACGCTATTGAGTAGGGTGTAGGTTATCGAGAAATTTAACTAATAATTTACATATTGTGAAAATTACATTAATGTATCTGTAATAACCATATAACATAACATGAAGGCATCAAGGGACCATTTGGTCCTTTTGGTCTACACCCATCATTGAGAATAATCTAAAAAAAAACCCTTATTTTCCAGGAAATCATTGATTCCTCTCTTGAACGCTTGTAAAGTAGTGATCTCCACTACTGTCGATGACAACTCATTCCATAAATCAATCATCCTCTTAGGAAAATAAGTTTGTTTTAACCAGAACGTTGACTGTATTTCCCCATTCAAATAAGTCGATGTCTTTTCTTAACCAAATCTATAGACATTAAAGTCAAACTAGTAATAATATTACATAGTTATTGTGACGTGGAACCGAGACACGTGATAAATACAAGATGAATGATAGTTACTGCATAGCTGATGAAAACGTGGCACGAATGAAAGACTCTTCACAGATCAGTTCAAAATGCTTATAAACGAGGCTTAAACGTGTAAAATAAAATTTGGTAACTGCAGTATATATAAATGTCTATTTAGTGGCTGTCGTAGTGTACAAATACACAATGTCCAAACTAGAATAAAATTTGGTAACTGCAGTATATATAAATGTCTATTTAGTGGCTGTCGTAGTGTACAAATACACAATGTCCAAACTAGAATAAAATTTGGTAACTGCAGTATAGATAAATGTCTATTTAGTAGCTGTCGTAGTGTACAAATACACAATGTCCAAACAGGTCTTGTGAATGTCATCCTTCACTATTTAATTACCATGGCAACTCCTTTTATTTCTACGTTTTTTAAATAAAACACCCGTTACTAAATCTAAAATAATCAATTTCTAGCATCTTCTAGATCCGAGGTGTTCGTTATTTAAGACGAGCTAATGTGACGACAGTTAGGAGGCTTGAAGTTTTCGAAACAGAGAAAGCCTTTTGTGTCAAAATATATAACATAGGTTCAAATTCATCTTACACGAGACAGAGTAGTAGACAGGAACAAGGCTAAATAGCAGAGCGTATGATGGAATGTTGAGTCATTACGAAACTGGGAAGAATTTATAATGAACCAGTTAAGTATGATGAATTGGTTTTACAGGTTTGTAATTAGTGTACAATCATTGCTATGTGTATTAAAGATGGAATAACACTGAACTGGTTTTAGCAACCGTAGTAAATAACGAATGTTGAACAATACTATTCTCTTTACATGTGTGTGTAGTATGATATCGTAGCAGTGATTATATGCCCTATAAATAGGGCGTTCGATTACAAACTTTCCTGTGTTGATTCACAATTTTTTTAGGTTACCTTTGGTTGTACATTTTAGTACAAATTTCAAATATTCGCCCAACTCCTAAACGTGAATCATAAGATAACATGCAAATGATTATGTGGTAATATCAAAGTTTCTTTATTTCAAAACACTTATTTATTATGGTTGATTCCCAAGTCTCAGGATTTCCCGTTTGTCAACAGTTGTTTGTATTGCGATACAGTCACATATCCAACGTTTATCGTGCAAGTTTAAAACTGTGAAGATTGATATTGTTAAAGTTTTTAATGACTTTAGCACAACAAGAAAAGTTAAGACCGTTCCTTAAGCAGTAAAACACTTTTAAACACATATTTTTATTATTCAGTGGCGGGTAGAATTAAATTTTCTGCTCTCAAAATAGATTACGTAAACTTTGATTTTTTAAAATTTTTTCGGCTTATTGTTTCTCTTTGTATATTGTAATTATAGTTAAGTATTTAAACTAAATCGTTATATTCGTGTTTAATATGAAATTCAACATACTGATGAAAGCTCTTTTAGTTGTGATTAGATGTGTACAATCGATTGTTTGCATGACAGCGAAGATGAGAAATTCATAAAGATATATGCACACTAACTTGTACTGAGTAAACCCATTATATGGTTAATATTTCAGTTACGTAACCTTTCTCGTCCTCTAATTACTGCATTCTGTGGCATTTAGATCTGCAGTTTATCAACCGGCAGCGAATTTGTTGTCCATGTTGTCCCTTGATTGGTTGTCCATGTTTCTTATATACGTCCCTATTGATGAAATGTTTCTACTTGTGATGAAAAACTCTGTGGCATTTAGATCTGCAGTTTATCAACCGGCAGCGAATTTGTTTACCTCCCTTGATTGGTTGTCCATGTTTCTTATATACGTCCCTATTGATGAAATGTTTCTACTTGTGATGAAAAACTCAGT